ACACAAACTCGACCCTCACATCGGCAGCAGCCGAAGGCTCCAACGGCCCCTCAAAGAGCAAAGTCGTCGGTGCCGTCTTTGGCACGCTCATCGGCCTCACCCTCTGCATATTCGCCATCTTTTTCTATCGCCGACGCCGTGCGCGTAATCGTGTCCCACCCTCTATGGCGTTCATGAACTATCGATCGGATACAGAGCACCCGCCGGCCTACCCGTTCAACAGAACATTCTTTAGACAAAGATCGAGCTTTATGGGTGGTGGCGCTAAGGGAATGAACAAGTATGGAATTGCACCGAGCGAGAATGATATTGTTGGGGGGAATATGGCGGGGTGGGGGGCTTCGAAAGAGTATGAAGCCATCTATCCCAACTCGCCCAACACGGCTGGTCGTTATGGTGGATATGGCACGAATGGGGTGGGGTATGGAGCTGCGGGTGTAGGTGCCGTTGCCGCGGCGATTGGAGCAGGTGGACGGCACCTCTCGACGTTGGACGAAAAGAGCTCGGAGGGATCACGTACGCCTTCTGCCCTCGTCCAAACTACACCCGTCCCAGACTCGATGGTCAACGCTGCCCCGGGTTTATTGTCCCCCGTTGATGCTAAACGGCCGTCTACTTCACTGGACGCCAGAAGGTTGTCGGCTATTCCCGACTTGTCCCTCGCGGTCGTCAACGGTGACTCCACTGCTACTCCACCAAATGGAGCAGCAGCAGCTGATGGTCCAAGGAAATTGAGTGTGGATACGACGGCCGATATCGCGCGAACCCTAACGCCACCTTCTACCGCCGCAATCTCCGATCCCGGCAGCCCGGCAGGAGGAAACCATAATAATGGAACTGGACACCTCAACGCACACGGCAAACTTTCTCAAGCTCAACAAGCTGTATTGGCAGGGCTCGAACAGCATGCAGCGTTGCTGGGTGTGGAGTCGCCTAATGTTTTGGGTACCGAGACGCCAGCGTATTCGGAAAGACATGCGTATGATGGAATGGAGATTTACTCGCCTGTGAGCTCGGCGGTGACCCTTTCGAATCGACATTCGGGATTGCCGTATACGATGCCGTCGCCTCCTATGCCACTCACTGGATTACCTCCTCTTCCTTCCCACAACCCAAATAACATGGCTAATATGACGATGCCAGTAGTAGCATCGAGTTCACCAATGTTGACAGGACCTCCGAATATCCCGCTGCCTCCACCTCCCGTTTTGGATACATCGGTCGACAATAGTCCCTACAACCAATCCAATAATCCCTTCCGTACACCACCTGCCGAGAACTCGGATACCGAGGTGAACTTGGCTGGACGAGGGGCAAACGGTTTCAACCACGCCGCGTAAACCTCACTTCTCATGCTTCTACCCAGAAGAGGGAAGTGTTTGTGGACGTGAACCGATGATGCTTGTGTGCACTTGTAACTATTCTCATCATACATCCGGAACACAAAAACGCCATCAACGGACCAGGTTTGGACGGTGATCGGTCAAATATATATATTTATCAAACTATACCTTGTGCAAGACGTCTCACTCCCCTTGTCAT